TTCCATCATTTTGAACTTTTTTGAATAATCTGTGAAGGATAGGGGTTAGCTCTTCTTTACATGTTTTGTAGAATTCTCCTGTGAAACAATCTGGTCCAGGGCTTTTGTTTGTCGGGAGTTTTTTGATAACTGCTTCAATTACTGCTACTTGCCATTCTCTTCTGGCTTGGAGTGTTTCCATTGAGAAGTCAGTTGCTAACCTTACTGGGTTCCCTTGTATGTTATTTCCTTTTCCTCCCTTGCTGCCTTTAAGATTCTCTCTTTGTCTTGAAATTTTGCCATTTTTATTATGATGTGTCTTGAAGTGGGCCTCTTTGGGTTCCTCTTGATTGGGACTCTTTGTGATTCCTGTATTTGTGTGACTTTTTTTTATCATCATATTAGGGAAGTTTTCCCTTTCTCAAATAGGTTTTCTATCCCTTTCTCTTCTCCTTCTGGTATCCCTAATATTTGAATATTATTACTTTTCATATTGTCTTGTATTTCTCTTAATCCCTCTTTATTCTTTCTGAGTCTTTTCCCCTTTTCTTGCTCTTTCTGGATGCTTTTTTCTACTTTGTCCTCCAGCTCACTGATCCGATCTTCTGCTTCATCGATCCTGCTTTTGATTCCTTCTACTGTGTTCTTCAGTTCTGACATTGTATTCTTCATTTTCTCTTGGCTCTTGTTGATAATTTCTATTTGCTTTTCATATTGATATAGTCTGCAGCAAGTTCATTGCAGTTTCCCTGTAGTCTCAGGTAATTCACTGTGAGCTCATGGAGCTTCCTGACCCATTGCTTTGAACTAAATATCTAATAGTTGAGTTGCCTCTGTTTCATCTAACATTCTTTCTGAGGTTTCCTCCTTTCCTTTCATTTGGGGATTGTTTCTTTGTCTTCCCATTGTTTGTGAGACTGTTCTTGTTAGCCTCAGCTTTTTAAATTGATCTGTTCTGACTCCCTGGGTTTATGGTGTGAGCTTCTGTGGTAGGATACCTGTGAGATTCAGTGGTGCAGTCTCCTTCAGGTATCCTGGTGTTCACCACTTCCATCTACTCTTTTTTTGTGATCAGTTGGAGGGGAAGGCAAAATGGTTTAAGACAGCAAGAGAGTATTCTATGCTATTTATATTAGCAGCCAGTAAAGAAGAGATAGGAGATCCTTTCACTATGTATAGTGTTAACCATGATATACCATCCAACTAGCCACTTTTTAGAAAGGATGGAAAGAAAATAAGACTCTTGTTGGGGAAGGAAGGATTGTGAGTTGGATCTAGAAAGCACTGAGGTTGTGGAAGGTCAGATTCTGAGGTAAGATGAGAATAAAGGATAGTAAATAGGTGTAGTGTGTGAGATAATAGAGTTAATCACTCCAGTAATAGAGTTCAGGAAACCATGAAGTGGGCTAAGATCTGGGAGGGGTGTTGTGTAGTATTTATAATAGTATGGAACAACTATTATTTATAATAATATTAGATAAACAATCATATGGCAGAATCTATGAGATCTAGATACCAAGATTAGGGAGTACTGGACCTTCAGTCGTGTGCTAAGGGAACACAGGTGGAGTGAAGGACAGTAAATTAGCAATACATTATGAATGAGAGAACAGGGAAAAGCTGTCATACAATACAATATAACCAGCCAAGCAAAGAAGACTAAACAGAAAGAAGAGAAATACAAAAATATATTCAAATAAAAGATATAAGAATAATGTAATAATAATAATACAAATATGCATTACCTTTCAGGTTCTCTGTAGTAGCAAAGTGAAATTTGTCTCTCTCTCAGCTGTTGGGATGCTCCCTCTTTGGGTCCAACTCTGGTCTTTTCACAGTTCTGGGTTTTTTTTGTCTCATTTGTGGGGTTTTCTTTTTAAAGCAGACTAAGGAAGGTAAAAGAGATAAAATTGGAAAGAAAGGAAGAAGGAATAAAACAAGAAAGAAAGAAAGAGAAGCAAAAGGTATTGAGAGATAAGAATAATAAAAATTAGAAAATAAAAGATTACCTTAAAAAAATCAAACATACAAAAAACAACCCCCCCCCAAAACAACAAAAAACCCCTCTTGCTGGTTTCAAACTGGCCAAACTGGTTCTGTTCTTGCTGGCTGCAGCAGGCTGAAGGGCGGGTTTACAGATGTGGGCTCCAGGTCTCCTGAGGAGTGGTTGCTCACTCCGTTTACTGGTACAGGCTCTGGGTCTCCTGAGGCGCATATGCTCACTCCAGGTCCATGGGTGTGGTCCCTGGGTGTTCCACAAAGCTCTCTCCCCCTGGGTTGTGGGGGCGCAGGCCTGCACACACTTGGCCAGGCTGCCTCTGGTTACATAGGCTCTGGCGCACACTATTCCCAAGGCTATGCATGGGTGCTCACAGCCCCCATGTGTTTGGCACTCAGTCCTTTCTCCCCTGTCTGAAACTTCAAGCAACCAGGTCGCTCCCAGTGCTGCTCAAACCCTGTTTGGCTGGGAGGGAGCAGCTGACCCAGCTCTCTCCCAAGAGCCCTGTGGCCTGCCCAGTGGACCCGGGTCTAGGGCTGTGGCCTCCCTGGTCCCCGCGCTGATCCCTGGGCCCTTATTGTCCTGAAGCACTCTCCTTACCACCTGCTTTTTTAATGTCTGCTACAATTCTTGATCTCCTACCTTCATATATGCTGTGGTACTGTTGACTGTCTGCTCTGCTCCTCCATAGATCGGCCAGGTTTCTCTCCTGTGTGTAGGGGGAAGTAGAATCTACTCCCACTTACCTAGCTGCCATTTTCTCTCTGATTATGTGTCATATTTATGTGTTCTTTGGTTAGTCCCTGCACCTTCATTCATCCAGTCCCCTGTCCTCCCTCCCCTCTGAGAGGTGTCAGTCTGTTCCATGTGTCCATGCCTCTGTTTCTGCTAAGTTCTTCAGTTTATTTTGTTCATTAGATTTCACTTATGAAATCATACAGTATTTGTCTTTCTTTGACTGGATTATTTCACTTAGCATAATAATCTCTAGAACATCCATACCATCACAAAAGGTAAGATTACCTTCTTTTTTAAGGTTGTGTAGTATTCCATTGTGTAAATGTCCCGCAGCTTTTTTATCCAATCATCTATTGATGGGCACATAGACTGTTTCCAGATATTGGCTATTATAAATAATGCTGCAAAGAAGAGAGGGGTGCATGTGTTCTTTCTTTTTTTAACTTTTTTTCAATTACAATTAACATATTTTATTATATTAGCTTCAGGTGAATATCCAAGTGATTAGACATTATATAATTTACTAAGTGATCATCCCAATGAATCTAGTACCCATCTGATACCACAGTTATTAGATTATTGACTATATTCCCTATGCTATACTTTACATCCTCATGACTACTCTATTACTACCAATTCATACTTCTCAATCCCTTCACCTTTTCCACCTATGCCTCCTCCTATCTGGCAACCACCAAAAATGTTCTCTATATCTATGAGTCTATTTCTGTTCTGCTTGTTTACAATGGTTGATAGATAAGTATGTACTGCCATTTTGATCTTTTTTTCCCCTTCTTAAAGAAGATTGTTTAACATTTCATATAATACTGGTTTGGTGGTGATGAACTTCTTCAGCCTTTTTTTTTTTTTTTATGGAAAGCCCTTTATCTGTCCTTTAATTCTAAATGATAGCTTTGCTGGGTAGAATAATCTTGGTTCTAGGTCCTTGCTTCTTATCACTTTGAATATTTATTGCCAATCCCTTCTGGCCTGCAAATTTTCTGTTGAGAAAGCAGCTGACACTCTTATTGGAGCTCCCTTGCAGGTAAGTAACTGCTTTTCTCTTGGTGCTTTAAAATTCTCTTTAACTTTTGGCATTTTAATCATGATGTGTCTTGGTGTGTGCCTCTTTGGGTTCATCTTGTATGGGACTTTCCGTTTCCTGGACTTGTATGTCTATTTCCTTACCAGTTTAGGGAAGTTTTCTGTCATTATTTTTTTCAAATAGATGTTCAATTTCTTGCTCTTTCTCTTCTCCTTCTGACACCCTTATGACATGAATGTTGTTACACTTGAAGTTGTCCTAGAGGCTCCTTACACAATCCTCATTTTTTAGGATTCTTTTTTCTTCTTGCTGTTCTGATTGGGTGGTTTTTGCTTCCTTATATTCCGAATTACTGATTTGATGCTCTGCTTCATCTAATCTGTTGATTCCCTGTAATGTATTCTTCCTTTCTCATTGCTCATTTTTATGCTTTCTAGTTCTACTTTTATGTTTCCTATCTCTTGGTTAAAGTTCTAAGTTCATGTACTCTTCTTCTAAGTTCACTGGGCTTTCAAACTAGTGTTTTGGGATTCTTAATATGTATTCCCAGTAGTGGAGTTTGGTCAGAAGGCAGTTCTATGCAAAATTATTTTTTTAGCAAACTCCATACTGGTTTTCATAGTGGCTGCACCAGTCTACATTCCCACATCCTTGCTAGCACTGTTGACTTATTACCGATAGCCATTCTGACAGGTATGCGGTGATATCTCATTGTGGTTTTAACTTGCATCTCTGATGATCAGTGATGATGAGCATTTCTCATAAGTCTAACAGCCATCTGTATGTCCTCTTAGGAGAAGAGTCTATTCAGGCCCTTTGCCCATTTTTTTGGTTGGATTGTTTGTCTCCCTGGTGTTGAGTTGTATAAGATTTTTTTTTACATATTTTAAAAAGTAACCTCTTATCGGATGTATCACTGATTGATATGCTCTCCCACATTGGCTTCCATTTTCATTTTGTTAATCATTTATTTTGCCATGCAAAAGCTTTTTTGTTTGATGTAGTCCCATTTGTTTACTTTTTCCTTTATTCCCCTGCCCTAGGAGACATATCAGCAAAAACATTGCTATGAGAGATGTCTGAGACTTTACTGTGTATGTTTTCTTCTAGGATTTTTATGATTTTGTGGCTTACATGCATGTCTTTCATCTATTTTGTGTTTATTCTTGTGTATGGTTAAGTTGGTGGTCCAGTACAAAATATTAGCAAACTAAATCAAGGAATACACTAAAAAGAAACCATGGTCAAGTGGGATTTATTCTGTGAATACAAGGTTGGTACAATATTTGCAAGTCAGTAAATGTCGTGCATCACAAACAAAATGAAAGATAAAAATCATGATTATATTGATGCAGAAAGCCATTTGATAAAATTTAGCACCTATTTATGATAAAAACTCTCAGCAAAGTGGGAATAGATGCATCACTCCTCTACACAGTAATGGACATATATACAAACCTACAGCAAACATTATGGGCAACTAAACAATGGGCAACTAAACACATTTCCCTTAAGATCAGGAGCAAGGTAAGGACGTCAGCTTTCACCACTCTGGAAGTCTTAGCCATAATGATCAGACAAAAATAAGAATTAAAATGCATCCAAATTGGATAGAAAGAAGTAAATCTGTCAATGTTTACAGATGACATGAAACTGTACATAGAAAACCCTAAAGCCTCCACACACACACAAAATACTAGATCTAATGCATGAATTTGGCAAAGTAGCAGGAAACAAAATTAATATTAGAAATCAGTTGCATTTTTATATACCAAGAATGAAATATCAGAAAGGGAAACTAAGAAGACAATCCCATTCACTACTGCAGCAAAAACATAATAAAGTACTTAGGAATATATATATATACACATACATACATACATATATGTATGTATATATATTTATATACATATATATGTATGTAAATACATGTATATGTATATACATACATATATATTTTATACACACACATATATATAAAATGAAGGAGGCAAAAGACCTGTACTTCAAAAACTATAGGACATTTAAGAAAGAAATTGAACATACAAGTGGAAGCATATCCCACGTTCATAAATTGGAAGAATTAGCATCATTAAAATGTCCATACTACCCCAAACAATATACAGATTCAATGCAATTCTTGTTAAAATATCAATGACATATTTCACAGATCTAGAACAAATATTCCAAAAATTTATGAAACAAAAAAAGACCCCAATAGCCTCAGCAATCTTGAGAAAGAACAACAAAGCTGGAAGTATCACAATACCTGATATCAAACTATACTACAAGGCCACTGTAATCAAAACAGCCTGGTACTGGAATAAGAATAGGCATAAAGATCAATAAAATAGAACAGAAAGCCAAGAAATAAAAGCATGCCTTTATGGTTAATATTTGACAAAGGAGGCAAGAGCATTCAATGGAATAAAGTCTCTTCAATAAATGGTATTGGGAACATTGGTTGATTCTTTTGTGTGCCCTGACTAGGGATTAAACCCACAACACCTTGGTGTATTGGAACAACATCTTAATCAATTGAGTGACCCAGCCAGGGCTCCATATTCTCTTATATTTAGGTTTTTATGAGGCGTGGAAGATAATTTTGATGTCTAAACACTAGAACAACCTACAGCATATTAATGTTGTAATAATTATCATCTTCTAAAGAAAACTCTAAATGAATATTTGAATGAAAAAATATTTTTTATTATTTAGTTTTCAGATTACAGAAACATCTCAGAAAAACTGTGACACCAGTGTATATATATTTGAGGTATTATCTGTATAATTAGTAACTCTCACAGCAATGGGAAATACTTGTTTTTTTAAAATATGTTGTACATTAACTTTCTGAGTCAAGAATTCCTCATTATTGTAAAATAATTTCAGTTCAGTGCTCTAACAGTTAATGCAAATAGATGTAAACTCCATTCCTAGATAAACTTTTAAAAGGTTGAACACTTATTATGTTAACACAAATGTCAACAAAAACAGTCCAACAGTTGCAGAAGTACAGTAACAAAAATTATAAATACAGTTGTCTCATGAGAGTAGACCATAGTATCATCTGACTTAAAAAGCCTAAGGACATTGTTTATATTTTTTGCACTTTCTGACTCTTCCCTATTAATATAGTGGCAAATTCTGATCACTTACCCTTATTTAATATCCCTATGAACAAATTTGCTGGTACTGGATACTATATTCAAATATATAATCATTATCATCATATGAATTAGATTATTAGTAGTGGAAACTCATCAAAGCTTTTAAAGGCTATAAATGGTTTTATGCAACTTAAAATTCTAATTTTGGAAGAAACTGGCTAATGAATTTTTCCTTCTATTGGTGAACAACCACCATGTACCAGTGTTACTATGAATATATAATTATTGTGTGCAACATGCTTATATTTTATTTAAGAGCCAGAATACTGTACAACATGTATAAAACATCATCAAATATTGTGATGATGCCATTGTGTATGACATTTCAAAAATACTGGCTGGTCACAGTTCATTTTTCTGGACTGAAAATTACTTAAATTTTCTAGAGGCTAACATGATCACAAATTCATTATCTTGACATGTGTGCTGTAATCTTCTTTCGTACAGTTCACTGGCCTTTCTTGTTGCCTTTCCCCAGACGACCCTGCAAGAAAAAAAATGACTTAAGTAGTTACAGCAAAGAGTGAGAAACAGATTCATAGATATGACAAGGACTTTAAAATTTTTTCTCTTTTCTGTGTATAGTTATTAATTATAAGAGTAATAAAAGTGAAATATGTACTGAGAAGGTCTCAAATTAAAAAAACGCAAAACTGATGAATTTTATTTGAAAAAATGTCTAAAGGGGGTAATAACGCTCTTGCTAAGCTTTTCTTCCCTCCCTGTCTCAATCTATTTTGCTTTAGTTTCATACTTATATCAGAAAAACAAAATTTCTAAAATTCTCCTCTTGCAAACCCAATTAAGATTTTTTGGCAGAGAAAGAAATAAAGGAAAGCAAAAACCCAGATAGGCTGGCCTTTTTAAATTGTTGTTCTTCAATTATCTGACAATAGAACTACCTTTTCAAATTATACTCTTTACTGATCATGTTAAGAGTTAACTATAAGATATAATTTAAAACGGGAAGAAAATGGGATAGAATTTAATCTTAAAAAATCATTTGCACTAACAAGGGAACAGTCTACCATGAGGGGAAAAAAATCTCATAAAATAGAGTTGCAGTATTATTATATTTACATGGGAAGTTCATCAAGATCTCATTCAGACTGAGCATTGATCCTTTCAGAACAACTTTAATAACATCAAGCACCCATATCAGAAGATAAGATTAGAGGAGACATTTTAAATGATAGTGTATCACTGCACGTGTTTATATCTCTTACCACTTTAGACAAAATTATACCTTTAATGGAGCTGTTATTGTGGACAAGTCCCTTAAGTGAAGGGTGATTATCCAAAATGAAATTTAAAAACTGGCAGGTGCTTATGTGTTTTTGCTGCCAATAACTCTTAGTTCTGTTTTTTTTTCTTTTCTAGAAGACAGCCAGGACAAACAAGGAAAAGCAAAAATTACATTTTCTGAAGGGACTGTTTCCTAATATTTATTTAGTGTTTATCACAGATAGGGGACTGCATGGTGAAATCCAAAGGGATTGAAAAGCTACAAATTGGGATTTTTCAGTAAAGAAATCAGCTTTCCCCTCTACCGCCTTTGTTTCCTTAATGTGTTACAGTCCTGTACTTTATGGTAATTTTATTTAAAGTAAATCAACTATGTAAAATTGAGAAAGCTAAGTTTCTCAAAGAACTTCAGGATAATTCAACTGTGAAGGTTAGTTTGACAAGAGAAGTAAGATTCATAAAGGACAGTGTGATAGAGCTTTTCACTGTAGGTCTACAGCAATTTTTTGATTCTCCAGTTGGATTCCAAAAGTGGATATCAGAGTGTAAGAGTCACTTTTAAGACAATGGTTCTCAGTTAATGACACCTGGATCTCAGACTTTTACATGTTCTCATAATGGAGAACGTGTAAAACGTGTAAAACGTGTAAAACGTGTTTGGGGAGGATAGCAGGTGAATGGGGAAAAAATGTGTCCAATCAAGAAATAATTACTAGAATTTTATAGCTATATAAAGCTTTTCTTGTTTAAAAATATATGTTTTCCAAAAGGTATTTTTAAGATTTTATGTATTCATTTTAAGAGAAAGAAGAAGGGAGGAAGGAAGAGAGGGAGAGAAACACCAATGTGTGGTTGCCTCCTGCACACCCCCCACTAGGGACCTGGCCTGTACCCTAGGCAGGAATCGAACAGGTGACCCTTTGGCTTGCAGCCCATGCTCAATCCACTGAGCTACACCAGTCAGGGCTTGTTTAAAAATATTTAAAGTATTTTCTTGTACAGAATCTGGTGCAATGCTCATGAAGAATTATAATACTCATCTAAGTAATGAAGAAGCCAAGGAAAACGGATGTCAAATGATTTACATGAGGTTTATAGAAATGGTAAACTATGGAGCTGAGATTTTTTTTTTCCTTAAGTAATTTATTCCAAGGCTTGGTTTTATAGTGATGCAAGCACACACACACCACACAGGGCAGCAAGGCACCTAAGGGATTAACAGCAGAGAACGACCGCCACTCTTCAGGCTGGGATGAGGGAGGAGACAGTGTTATGGATCCCAGGAGTGAGGGCCACCAGGTGGAAGCTGACCAGTGGGAACTGCAGCCGTGGAGAGAGAGAGCCTGGAAAATATATCTGTCTCCCAGAGATATGGAGCAGAGGAGCAGTGGGAAGAGAATGAATCCCAGAGTATAGTCCAATGACCGGCACAGGCCAAAGACCAGAGCAGTTAATGATGGAGGTTTTGGAGAAATACTTCTTGACTTCGAATGCTATCACTTTTTAGTTCAATGATTTTGGGTATATTATATAACATCTCTGGTTCTCCTTTTCCTCATCTACAAAACAGGATATTAAAATACCTTAATTTAGAGGGCTGTGATGGAGAGTAAACAGGGTAACCTATGTGAAGTTAAGTGCTTAGTCCAGACCACACCCTTACTAAATGTTATCCATTAACTATTTCAAAAAACCTGATACAAGCAGAAATTAGGTCCAGGCCGAAAGGCACTAGTGAACAAGACCCAATTTTCAGCATGGCACTTGGGGTATCTGGGATGGGATCATTTTTCAAAGAAACAGGTAAGACAGAGTACCTACTTTCTGGGGAAGGAATTACTCATTAACGTTCTTTCACAGTTTTTATCAAGAATGCCTTTTGGGGGGGGGAATAAAATGGGTTGAGAAAATCTCATCATCACATATATTCTTCAAGTATTAAGAGAAACATTAACTATTCCAACAATGGGAACATTCAAGCAATGGCCACTGGCCATAAAAAAATGAGGAAATATTCCTGCTTCTCTTAAACATTTTTGACACTGGCAAAGTCCACTGGTGTGGGTCCTCACCCTTGTTGGTGTGAGGTCATTCTGACCTCACAAGTGGGAGGCGAAAAAAGTTCTATTTTTAGGCAAGAGGCTTCTGAAGTGAAGAGGCTTCTGAAGTGTTCCTTCACTTTCTTTTTCTTATTAAAAAACATTTTATTTATTATTTTTAGAGAGAGGAGAAGGGAGGAAGAAAGAGGGAAACAATTGGCTGTGCAGTCTGGCACTCAACCCACTGAGCCACACCAGGCAGGGCTGTTCTTTTACTTTCCATGGTGGATCTTGAAGGACGCCTCAGTGAAGTTGGCAATATCAGGACCACTGTTTACAGATGGGGAGAAGGTGTTGGTATTGCTGATACCATAACCGCCCACTACAGACTATGTGAACTGAGATCTTGGTGTCCTGGGCTTAAAACAATGGGTATCTACCTGCTCTGCATTGCCCTATTGTCAAAGTACGTAGTTAAATCAAACATGCAACCCAACTTGGAACACCAGATTCACACACGCTTGGGAATGCTCCTGACTGGCTTTAGGATGAAGGCCAAGTGGCTGGCTGAGAATATCATTCTCTCAGCAAAACTTCTACAGAGGAATTGTGTTAATAGCTATCATTTCTGGAGTATTTACTTAGCACAATGCTAAGTGCCCTTCACATTCTATTTAATAGTCCCAACAACCCAGTGATATGGGTGCTATTATTGTTCTGATTTTACAAATGGAGAATAATGAGCCCCAGAGGGGTTACATTAATACGCTTGGGATCACAAAGCCAGCAGTTACTTCAGGTCTGCCTGACGCGAAGGCCCACAGGTACAGTGCCTCCTTGTCTTATGCCAGGCACAGTGCGAGACCTTGGAGATATAAGTGTATTGCAGTAACTGTAGGACTGTAATTGCTAAAAAGCCATGATTGAATAACACAAGGCTTCCAAATTCTAAGGATCAGCCCAACCTGAAAGAAAAGGAGCACAGACCCTCCATCTTGGGAGGAAGTAGGATGGCCAGGGTTGCCCGTGGAATGGTTGCTCCCTTGAACTCTCCCCACACATGGTCAAAGTATGGAGGGGAAATCAATTCAGGTTAGGGGCTGGAAGCCCAAGAGGAAAGGAAAAGACAAACCCGACATGAATAAATGTTGGAAACTTACTCTGCTAGACTGGAGGGGAAGAGAAAGAAATATCTATGGCCCCAACTTTGTGACTTTAACAACAAAAAGTTTTTTTTCATTTCTATCTTTCAAATCAATTGCAGGTAAATCAAAGCCAATAGGCTTTGTCCTAAAATGCTTAAAAGAGCAGGACAGAAGGAGCAGTATGATGAGGGACTTCATTTTTGATTTTTCTTTGGTATGGGTACGACAAACATTCCAAAGAGCAAAACAAAATTTTCTAGAGCCAATGTGTTTTTTCATGCTGCCATTTTTGTGGTTCAATTATTTTGATTAAAGCTTCACGAAAAACTTCAACGGTTTAAGTTAGCAGGCCACTTACTCTCTCTGTTATGATTATCTTGTATTTTCATGTAATGTCCTAATCTTTACCCTCTAAGTAAATTCTATCTTCCTTAATCACTAAACAAAGCCAGGATTAAGTACAACCTCTTGATTTGGGAAGAGCAAATAACCCAAATAGTTGATTTAAGTAATTACAATTTAAAAAAATTTAGGCCCATAACATAGATGTCACCCACCTGAAGTTCTGAGTGTTCTTTTAGGAGACGGTCATATTCTTTTGAAAGATTCTCTGATTGTATCTTCACTGTCATCAGGTCATTTTGTGCCTTAGAAAGGGCTAGAAAACATTGAATAAAATTTTACAATTTTTATTTTGAAATAATTTCAAATTTACAGAAAATTTGCAAGATAAGTAAAGGACTCCTTCGTACCCTTTGTACAAATTCACCAACTGTTAATTATACAACACATTTGTTATTGTATTCTCTCCACATGCACACAATTATTTTCTTGCACCATTTGAGAATAAATTATAGACATCATGACCCTTTACTCCTTAACACTTCACTGGTGTATTTCCTAAGAACAAAGGTATTCTCTAACAATTGCCATAGGACAGTTATAAAATTTAACATTAATACTTTTTCTAATCTACCATTCATATTCCAATCTTGGCAATTGTCTCAATTACATTCTTTTTATTACTTTTTTTCCACTTCTTGTCCAAGATGCAGTCCTGTATCAAAGACTTGCAGTAAGTGGTCACATCTCTAGTTTCCTTTAAGCTGGAATAGTTCTGCAGTCTTGCCCCGCCCTCCTTGCCCTCATCTTTTGGGACACTGAAATTTTTAAAAATATAAGATGCTTTAAAAGTAACAGAATGTTTTTCACTTTGGTTTTGTCTGAAGTTTCCTCATGACTAGATTCAGCTTATGCATCCCATTTACATACAAATATGAAATAAGTTGTGTGGAATGTCTTTCAAGATCAATGAAAAGAGGCCCATCTGCCTCTCTCTGGTTTTTCCATTTTATAGTTATTTTCCAGTAATTAAGAAGCAGTATGTGGGAATACAATTAAGGCTATGTAAACATCCTGTTCCTTGATAAACTTCCCCCTATATTTAGCACCCACCAATAACTCTTGCCTAAACCAATCTTTATTATGATGGTTGTGAAATGGTGATTTTCCAGCTTTACCAACCCATCCACACTTACCAGCCAGCATTCTAGTATAACAAAGAGCCTTTCTGCCCTGGCCAGGCAGCTCAGTTTGTTGGAGTGTCGCCCTATTGCGCCAGGGTTGCTGGTGATCTCTGGTCGGGGTGCACACAGGGATCAACCAATGAATGCATAAGTAAGTGGAACAAGATCAAGTTTCTCTCCTTTCCTCCCTTACTCCCTCTCTAAAATTCATAAATACAAATTAAAAAAAGAAGAGCCTTCCTTTCTTGCCCATCTATCTATCCATCCAGCTGTCTGTCCATTCATCTATCCATCCATTGATCCATCCATCAGGATGAACTCGGAGGTGCCTGTTTTGTCAGTGATTTATGATTCATTACTATACTTAATTTCCCCCAGATTTGGCCAGTGGAACCTCCTTTAGGCGGGCTCTGACGTCTTTTGATCTAATGTTCCCACCATTTTTTGAGGACTTGGCTTCAGGCACAAAATATTCCAGGCTCATCCTAACCCTTCCCTGCCTAAGCCTCCACTCGGGCAGGCATTATCAAACAGAATTTATCAGAAGGGTCTGCTTTTGAAAAAAAATGAGGGAAGAAAAGTGATTTAATCATTCTTACTAAGGGTTGTGCAACCATATTTTCTTAAGAACAAAGAAAATCACTTTTTTATAGAAAGCTGAAAAATATGAAGGTGTGTAAGTGGCACTTAAAGATTTTACCTCAAGATGATGCACAAAAATGGCTATAAACTAGCCTTTGTTCAACATGAAGCTCCAGTCTAAGCCAGCAGATTAGACAGAAGTTTAAAAATATATACAGAGAGGTTAGGGCAAAAGTACCTTTACAGCTGTTTACATGGAACACAATACCATAATTAACAAACAATAATACAAGAATAAATTCTGTGTTTTGTGTACTTACAACTGTAAATCTACTTTTGTCCCGCCACCCCACCCCGTGTATATATATATATGCTAAACATTTAAGTCAACATGTTATGGAGAAGCTAATGATCAAATGTGTAGAAGGGAAGGGAGTATAAGATGGATTGAAGAAATTCTGGGGATCTGGAACTAGCTATACATACAATTCTGCACATGTAGCCTTTAGAAGTTCTGCATTTGTAAATCTCTTAGGGTATAAGTTGTAGGAAAGAAAGTAGAATTTATAAATTTAAAAGGCACTTTTTTGCACAGTAAATGAAATTATAGGTTCTCTTTATAAACAATCTGGTTGCTTTATCTCTTGAGAAGCCCTCACATGGGCATTTTAAAATATATGTATATTCACTACTAACTAAAGTGCCTTTTGTATCAGTTTCTAAACAATGTTGTCAAGTTGAACTTTCTGTACTGTCCTGCATCTACACTGTCCAATAAATGTGCTACATTTCTGTTGTCCAGCATGGTAGCCACTAGCTCCCTGTGGCTACTGAGTACTTTAAATGTGGCAGGTGCAACTGAAGCACTGAATTTTAAATTTTATTTACTTCTAATTATTTACTTTTAAATTTTGGTTTAAATAGCACAATTTATAATTTCTTCCACCTTACTTCCATAGATCCACAAATCTAAATTAGGTATTAAGGTCTGAAATTTGTTAATTATTTATGTATTTTTATACATGCCCAGGGGCATTTTTCCATTGCATTTGAGAGAGAGAGAGAGTGCCTGAGAGTGAGTGAGAGAGAGAGAGACATTGATCAGTTGCCTCTTGTACCCACCTGAACCTGGGGCTGCATGCCCCTGGACCAGGGATTACAGGTGCCCAGACTGGGGACTGCACAAACCCAGATCAGGACCACCCCTGCAACCCAGGCAAGTGCCCTGACTGCACGTGAACCTTCAACCTTTCGGTTATGGGAGGATGCTCCAGTCAACTGAGCCTCACCGGCCAGGGTTACTTAAAAGTTGAACGTAACAAAATGAATGTGTCATTTGGTAAAGGTATGGGTTAGGAAGGGAAGAGAGATTTATGGTAGTTGTTAGATTTCACTGGAACCAGAGCCACAACACAAAGATTTATATACTTGCTTTCAGTTTGGGTTCTCCAGGACATTTCCTAGAGGACACTTGAAAATATGAAACTAAAAATGTTTAAGAGCCTAGATTTCCAGTATATAAGAAGCAAAGAAGATTCTACAACCTAATAAGATCTGAGTAGCCAATAATGGTGGTTTGAAAAATATGGCTGAGGAGCTTATTAATGAACAGAGGTTGGTCTTAATGTTAAAAATGATTTATACTGTAATGGCAGGTGTGGCTCAGTTGGTTGGAGAATTGCCCTGTGCACCAAAAGGTCATGGGTTCCATTCCTGGTCAGGGAACACACAAAGGTTGTGTGGGTTTGGTTCCCCATCAGGGCACATACAGGAGGCAACCAATCGATGTTTCTCTCTCACATTGATGTTTCTCTTCCACCCTTCCTCTCTGTGTAAAATCAATAAATGTATCTTCAGGTGAGGATTAAAAAATAGTAATAAAAATGATTTATACTTAAATTTCTGACATGAATAAATTACTTAGGAAATTTCATAAACCTTAGACATCATCTCTCATTAAAAGATATCATTTTTCTCATGAATTGTTAGTAGAGGGAATGAGTCAGGTGTCTTATGAATCTGTAAAAGAAGAGAGTTTTAATCACAAATGGATGTTGTATCCTGTCAAATGCTTTTCCTGTATCTATTGATATGACTGTATTTTTATCCCTCATTTTGTTAATTTGATGTATCACATTGATCAATTTGCATATTTTGAACTCTCCTTGTGCTGCTGGAATGAACCCCACTTGATGATAATGTATTATCATTTTAATGTACTATTGTATTTAATGTGCTAGCATCTATTTATGAATAAAACACTCAATAAAATAGGTATAGAAACAAAGTACCTCAATATAAAAAAAGGTCATATGTGATTAACCCTCAGCTAATATCATAGTCAATGGTGAAAAGCTGGAAGCTTTTCCTGTAAGATCAGGAACAAGACAAGGATACCCGCTCTCTCCACCGTTGCCCAACACAGTACTGGGAGTCCTACCCAGAGCAACCAGGCAAGAGAAAGAAATAAAAGGCATGAAGAAGTAAACTTGTCACTTTTTGCAGATGACATGATTCTTTCTTTATACAGAAAACACTAAAGATTCCACCAAAAACCTATTAGAAACAATAAACACATACTGTAAAGTTGCAGGATACAAAAATCAATATAAAAATCCACTGCATTCTTATATCCTAACAATTAAATTTCAGGAAAAAAACCAATTCCTTCTGCAAAAAAATGAAATACCTTGGAATAAACTTAACAAAGGGTGTGAAGAACCTATACAGTGAAAACTGTAAGACATTATTAAAAGGGATAGAAGAAGACACAGAGAAATGGAAAGACATTCTATGTTCATGGATTAGAAGTATCAACGAAGTTAAAATGGCCATATTACACAAAGCAATATACAGATTTAATGCAATCCCCATCAAAATCCCAATGGCATTTTTAAAACACACAGAACAAAATACTATCAGATTTGTATGGAACCACAAAAAACTCCCGAATAGCTGGCACGGCACTGAGAAAAAAGGATGAAGTTGGAGGTATCATGTTCCCTGACCTCAAGTTATACTACAAAGCAACCATAATCAAAACAGCATGGTATTGGCAGAAAAATAGATACACAGATCAATGGATCAGAATTGAGAACCAAGAAATAAACCCACGTGCATGTACATGGGCAAAAGATTTTGATAAAGGAGCCAAAAACATACAGTGAAGAAAGCCTCTTCAATAAATGGTACTAGGGAAATTGAAAAGTCACATACAAAAGAATATAACTAGACTGTGCTTAGTTATCATATACAAAAATTAACTCAAAATAGATCAAAGACCTAAATATAAGACCTGAAGCAATTAATTACATAGAAGAAAATAATAGGTATTAAACTTATGGACCTGGGTCTTAAAGAGGACTTTATGAAGTTTCCCTACGAGGCAAGGGAAGTAAAAACAAAAATAAATGAGTGGTCTATATTAAAATGTTCTGCACAGCAAGAGAAACTGATAACAAAACAAAAAGGTGACCAACTGAAAGGGAAAAGATATTTGCAAACACCTTCAACAACGGGTTAATATCCAAAATATATAAATAACTAATAC